CCACACAACACAACATATACACACACACACAAACACAAACACAATCCACACACACACACATACACACACACAACACACACACTACACACACACACACAATACACACACACACACATACACACACATACACACACACACACACACACACACATACATACACACACACACAATACACACACACACACACACACATACACACACACACGCAGCCAAACATACTCAGAAATGTTCTATCTTCTGTCCCGGTGTGTGTGTGCAGGTACCCTATCTTCGAGACCCCGTACCCCCTCACGCTGCACGAGTCCCCGGTCACCTGCTGTGAATACTTCGTGGACTGTCCGTCTGAACTGATCCCAGCTGTACTCTGTGGGCAGCCGGCAGAGAGAGGCAGTGCTTCAGCAAGAAGGTGCAGTACACTTTGAATTAGAATAACGTGCAGAAAACCCTGCAGAGATCAAACTAAATGCAACATGTTTTGATCTGAATTGGACAGGAATGGCCCATCAGTGGAGGGAACTGGGGGCAAGGCACTCAGAGTTACCCAGAGATCATCATCACTGGGTCAGTTACTCATATGAATGATTATGAATACATGAACTTATATGCATTTAAAGTGAACAAATGATCTCATATTATTTACTTTGTTTTTTTAGACATGCTGACGGGTCGATCAAATTTTGGGATGCTTCTGCACGTGAGTAGAAGATATGTATTTAATTAAATGTACGTTTAATGAGCTGTATGTAATCCTGTTTGACTCAGGTTTGTGCACATTAACCCTCAAGATAACCCTTAAGATCCCATAAAAACTGACCCCGTCACACATGTATTATATGTATTTCTGCCCTCAGTGATGCTGCAGGTGTGTTATACCAGCTAGCATGTGTATACTATGAGTACAGATTACATTTAAACATGTTTATGTGTATTTCCCTCAGTGATGCTGCAGATGGTATAAGTTGAAGACGGCGAAGGTGTTTGAGCGCTCTCGGCGATCGGAGGAGAAAGGAGGGTCAGAGATGGTGGACGAGGATCCGTTTGCCATCCAGACGCTGAGCTGGTGTCCTGAGAGCAGAATGCTGTGTGTGGCGGAGTCTCTGCTCACATCATCATCTACAGGTTCAGCAAACAGGAAGTCACCACCGACACCCTGCAGGTGGGTGGGAGGACATCTGCACAAACATCTACACACATAATAGTTTTCTAAGACATTCAGAAAGTCCAGGGCAAGACAGGGACAGGAAATTCCTTTTTATGGTCAAATTTCTATTGGGGTAATACTATTATTACATATTTTAATTCCTTTGTTATTCTTAACACAAAATGTCACCCCTCTTGTTTCCAGCTGCTGGAGGTGCGTATGCAGAGTGAGTTCAGTGAGGGAGACTCACCTGAGTCACCTGAGCAGAGCCTGCCCCCCCCCTCCAGCCCTCAGGAGGCCGACGCCCCCCCTCAGACCCCCAACTGTGACGGGCCCAGAGACAACAAACCCTGCCTTCAGTAAGAACAAACACCTTTACAGAGGGAGGAGGGAACTGTAGATCATATTTAAAGTAGTTCAAGGACTCAGTTGCACCAAAGCTTTAAGAGAGGAGGTGTTGATCTTCAGAAAAGTGAAACTTGTAGGTTTTGTATGGACTCCTGGTTTTGGAAGTTGCAATGAATGTTGAAAAAAACATTTAAAGGGAATAAAATTAATTTGTGGTGTGTGTGTGGGTGTGTGTGTGTGTGTGTGTGTGTGTGTGTGTGTGTGTGTGTGTGTGTGTGGGTGTGTGTGGGTGTTGTGTGTGTGTGTGTGTTGTGTGTGTGTGGTGTGTGTGTGTGTGTGTGTGTGTGTGTGTGTGGTGTGTGTGTGTGTGTGTGTGTGTGTGGTTGTGTGTGTGTGTGTGTGTGTGTGTGTGTGTGGGTGTGGTGTGTTGTGTGGTGTGTGTGTGTGTGTGTGTGTGTGGGTGTGTGTGTGTGGTGTGTGTGTGTGTGTGTGTGTGTGGTGTGTGTGTGGGTGTGGTGTGTGTGTGTGTGTGTGTGTGTGTGTGTGTGTGTGTGTGTGTGTGTGGTGTGTGTGTGTGTGTGTGTGTGTATAGAGTGCGCTCCTCTCCTCTCAAACAGTCTCCAGGTTTCCAGGTGGAGTTGGTGGTTCAGCTGCTGTGGGTCAGCGGGGAGCCTCCTCAACCAATTACAAGCCTCGCTGTCAACTCATCGTACGGCCTCTGTGAGTAACAACACGCGCACCACACTGGTTTAAAAAGCTTTAAACATCGTAAGAAATAAGTCATATCTATTTAATATAAAAATGTACCAAATGCCTCTCGTTACACAGATCAGATTCTATGAAAAGTGTCTCTTAAAATTGGTCTTAAATGTTTCCCTATGGCATTTTAAAAGCTTAATAAGTCTTAAAAGTAACATGCCTTAATTTGTAGGAACTGTAATTCATGGCTAAATTAAAAACAATATGAATGTCCTCAGCGTGGTGTTTGGAACAGCAGCGGCCTCGCTGTGGTGTGGACTTCCTCCAGAAGACTCTGCTCCTCAACATGGGAATATCAGAGCTCTGCAGCCCAGCAGACCCTCACCTGAGGCAGCCCAGATCCCCCGCAAGACCAGGCACACCTCCACAGGTGAGAGGAAATATATATATATATATATCTGTTAGGGACTCTACCAGATCTGCAGGTGAGAGGAGCCCCAGAATAATATATTTATATCTATTATGTTATGTCTTTGTGTTGCTAAATCCTTCTGAACAGCTGCAGCTCCTTTCAATATAATAACAGACAATATTTAATATTTCTTGGCTTGTTTTAGTCTCTCTGTTTCGTGTCTTTTACTTTCAATTGTATTTCTGTTTATTGATTTCAGTCTCCACCGGCCTGCTGCTGAATTTGTATTTTATTTTTCATTATAATCTTTAAAAAGGCTTTAAATGTCTTAAAATAATGAATTATAACTAATAATAAAATGATATGAGTTTATATTAGCCAAATATGTGATTTATCGAAGTCTTAATAAAAACACTTCTGGATTCTGTTTTTACCAGAAAGTATTGTCAGACGTTCCGCTTTCTGACAGTCCCTGAATGCATCATGTGTGACGGATCAGGAGTAATAAACAAATCTCTGCATAGTAGAGAGAGAGATAATGCTGTGCTTATTCGGGCTTTTAAATGATGGGTAATGCTTGCACTCTGAAGGAATATTATTTAAATAATCTAATATGTTTACTGTTAAATTATAGATCCAGCAGCGATCCTCTGAGACTTCTCTTTTCCTTTTTGACTTGTTTTCACGTCTTTTTCTGTTTGTTTCTCTGTTTGTTTGTCAGTGAGTGAGTTTGATAAAGACGGTCCCTCTGAGACGTCTTGCATGTCTCGACTGTCTAACCTTTATTCTGAGTCTGTGAAAAAACTGCGCTCGTCTCACATCAGTAAGTCACGCTGTGTCCGTGTTCCCAAATATAAGTTGAACTCTTTCCTCGTAGCCCCAAATCCCTAAAACCTCATGATCTTAAAGCTCCTGACACACCAAGCCGACTTCGGCCGTCGATAGATGTCGATAGATGTTTTGAGCATTGTGTCGCCCTACTCAGATTGGTGTGTCCCGCACCGTCGTGTTCTTTTCGGCCGTGCCGACACCTTCCGCGGCCGATTCAACATGTTGAATCGGTAGGCTGTCGGTAAAAGAAATCACTCTGATTGGCTGTTCAGCTAGCGAATCAGTGCATGAGAAGCGAACGGAAGTGAGGGACCCAAACAAACTATTAAGAAGGCAGATCTGAGATTTCACTTAAAGGTGGGGTAGGTAAGTTTGAGAAACCAGCTCGAGTGCGCTAGAATTTGAAAATACACAACCGGAGAAAATCTGCCACTTCCTTACAGAGCCCCTCCTCCAACACACACGAACGCGCACATGACCAATGAGGGCACGAGATAAGTTTGTGCACAGATGGAAGGCTGACAGGCAGGTAGGCCATCCAGTTATTTTAGCCGGGCCGGCTCAGATGATTGGTCGTGCTTTTTACAGTACTACGGCTTCCACAGATGATATTTTTTAATGTATTTTTGTCAAAGCACTTCAGATATTCATTGCTATCGGGATGTTAAGAGCATTCCATGGAATATAACAAAAAGTGTATCTCGAGCCGGTTTCTCAAACTCACCTACCCCACCTTTAACTCCAGCTCTCGACACAGGTTGGGGAAAGCCCTGTGAGCTTCTCGTTGTAGAGTGAAAATGGAAAGCACACGCTATTTGTTGTTTGCTTATATCACGCAGTCTGTTCTTCTTCTCTCGGTGTATCACGCAGTCTACCGGTTGTTGCCTCTTCTGAATGACGAATACACACTACCGCCGCCTGCTGGTAAGGAGAGGTATTGCCTCTCACGCGTGCGCAGTTCGTACGTGCTTCTTGGCCGTCGGCTGAAGTCTTTGCGGTGTGTTCCAGTGCCAAGACGCAGGAGGACGTGAGGCGACACAACAGACGTGTTCTTTGGTGTCAGCTTGGTGTGTCGGTGGCCTTTAGAGACTTCACTGTAGAGATACACCTTTCTTTCCTTTGTTTTTATTTACATTTAGAGCGTAAACAAACATATCTATGAGTTTTCTTTCATGTAAAATTGACGTTCGGTTGAATCTTTCTAATAAAACATTGACTAATAAGCTTCCTCCTAAACTTACAGGACCTTCTGACATGTGTAACTTTCCATAAAATGCAACGTCTATGACATAAAAACACAACTTAAAACACTTACAAGTAAAAACAAAAGCCATGTAGGAAGATATTTTTCATTTGTACTTAGATAATGAAATGTCGAAAATTGGCATTAATCATTCATATCTAACTGTGAATGGTTTTCATTTTACTTAACATTATTAGTCTGGCCAAACTTTGTTGAGATTCCTGGAAAAAGATTAACATAAAAGATTATCATAAAAAGTGGATTCAAGAACAAAACGCTGTTATTTTTCTTATATGACAATTATTTCTAAATCTGAAAGGTTTTTTCGCAGCTTTGGAATTTCTCCGTTGGGGCCAGATGACTTCGGTCGCATTCACACCAGCCTTGTATAGTCCGGTTGAATCGAACCCTGGTGCGTTTAGCCGCTCGGTTCGGTTCGTTTGGGTCGGTGTGTGAACGCAGCCCTCTGAAGTGAACTAAACAACCGGACTCTGGTCCGCCTAAAAGAGGTGGTCTCGGACCGCTTGCTAGTGAACTCTGGAGCGGATCATCGCTGGTGTGAACGCAGTCCGCACCAAAACATAGGAAGCGTAGTATTTACGTGTCACAAGAACGCGGATGTCTTCCAAATCTTTAGCAAAAGAGTTTTTCAAGACATCCACGGTTGTTTAGTTAAAGAGTGAAGCAGGATGAAGTGTTGAACAGTGTCGTGTAAAGTAAAAATGCTCCGTCAACTACATAAGAGCCACCTGTCGTCGGTGGAACCCCCTCCTTACTGCAGAACGTCTCTCATTATGTGTGTTATAATGTTTTTATCGCACGTTGTCTGATTATATAATCATATGTGCTGTCTGCTAGAGTCCATTGATATGCTCTCCAGATTAACAGCAGCATGAGAATAACCTGCCGATGCTCCATGGCGGAGGCTCCGGTAGAAATTGCCAGGTTTTGCGTTTTCACCCCCTTAATGTCTGACCAATGGTTGAACAGCATTTCCGAGCACATGACTTGTGTTTAAAGTTTATAGTCCGTTTGAGTTTTGCCTGTGTGAACGCAAACCCAACCTTCTGAAACATGAAACCATGTAACAAACTGTCGTCTGGTGCGCACCTGAGATCGGACTATAGGTGTGAATGCGACCTAAGATTGTCGACTTCATACATTTTCATAAAACAACACACTTTTGAAAGATATAGTTTATAAGTTGAGTTTATAAGCAGTGCAAATCGGGTAGTCACAGTATGTCTTCTTCACTCAGGTGCAGCATTTCAGCTCCATCCTCCCCTCTGTCTCCCCCTTAGAGAGCTGCTTCTATTTAATTAAGGCACTGACTGGCCAAATAATTAATACATTTTTATAAATAAGAGTGATCTGTGCATCTCTGACCCCCTGAGATGCCCCTCTCTTCTAATAGATCTCCCTTTGTGACTGTATATGTGCTGCAGGAGCTTCCGTATCGGCACTAAGGCTTTATTACCTTTAAGTCTTCCGTGTTTAATCCCCTGTGTTCTCCCTCAGCAGCCGGAGACTCGGTGGATGGCTCCAACACCTCGGAGGATCGATGCAAATCCCCCCACCTCAGGTAACCTGGAAAACACTTAAGAGTATTTGTGCAGCTGATTTTATTTTAAGGAAACCCTAACGCAGCCCTTAAAGTGTTCAGTGCAACAGTTTAACTAAAGTATTAAACCAAGTTAAGGAGAAAAGCTTGAATACTAAGGTCAACATGTCAAGGATAACCTTAAGGGTATTTTATTTCAAGTCAAACTTTAAGGGAAATCTTAATTTAAGGTCTATTGTCAAACGGTTTGACTAACTTTAAGGAATTCCTTAATTATCAAACCAAGTTAAGGAGAAAAGCTTTAATACTAAAGTCAACATGTTAAGGATAACCTTAAGAGGAAGCCTTAAGGGTATTTTATTTCAACAGATTTTAATTTAAGTAATCTTAATTTAAGGTCTATTGTCAAACTAACTTTAAGGGATTCCTTAAGTGTTAAACCCTAATAAGGATTAAGGTAAATTTACATTTTAAGGAGAAAAGTTGAATTAAGGATGATTGTGTAACCAATTGTACTTAAGAAACTTGTACTTTAAGGTAAATCTTAACTTAAGGTTGTTTGTTAAACCGTTTGATAAACTTTAAAGGATTCCTTAAGTGTTAATCCCTAATAAGAATTAAAGGAAAGAAGCAGAATTAAGAATGACATTAAGACAACCAATTGTACTTAAGGATCTCAAACTTTAAGGAAAATCTTAACTTAAGGTCAATTGTCAAATGGTTTGACTAATTTTAAGGGATTCCTTAAGTGTTAAACCCTAATTAGGATTAAGGTAAATTAGAATGTTAAGAATGGAATGGATTTAAGGAACCCAAACTTTAAGGGAAATCTTAACTTAAGGTATGTTGTGCAACAGTTTAACTAACTATAAGGGATTCCTTGAGTGTTAAACCCTAATAAGGATTAAGGTCAACTCAAATTTAAGGAGAGAAGCAGATTTAAGACTGATTGTGCAACCAATTGTTAACTTTAAGGTAAATCTTAACTTTAAGGGGTTTTGTTCCTCTTACCTTTCTTAATATTTTTAAGTGCTCTTTTTAAAAGCTGATGTTTGTCGTTAAGGATCTGCGTCGCCGTGCAACTCCGATGACGAGCGGAAACACAGGTTCATAGAGAAGGGTCTGTACTGAGACACGTGCTCTGATATATTTACACTTAATTAAAGCAGATTTTAAATAAAAACTCTCTCGTTTCCAGTGAAGTCTAAGAGCAGACGCTTTTCCAAGACGGTTGCCAATGACTTTGGTAATTTCCCCTTAAGTGTTGACTCTCTAACCCTCTAATGACTTCCTGTTGGTACTAATCACACGGGGTTTGTGGGAAACCGTGATTTAACAAATGATTTTAATCAAATGCATGACTTTTCTGTGCAGATGTGTAACGGCTGCTCTGGATGAATCATGTGATGCTTTTTCATTGCTCTATTCTCCTGCAGGGAAACATTTCTTATTCTCACTGTGTTTTGAAATCCAAATATATGTGATTGCTTTATTCTGCCCTAAATATAATCAGTATATCATCTAGTTTTATTACACTTGTAGTTGTAGTTTTTGTCCACTTTTATTGTAGTTTTTGTCCACTTTCTGTTGTAGTTTTAGTGTACTTTTATTCCACTTTTAATTATAGTTTTATTCCACTTTTAATTGTAGTTTTATTCCACTTTTAATTATAGTTTTATTCCACTTTTAATTGTAGTTTTATTCCACTTTTAATTGTAGTTTTAGTCTAGTTTTATTCCACATTAATTGTAGTTTTATTCCACATTAATTGTAGTTTTATTCCACTTTTAATTGTAGTTTTAGTCTAGTTTTATTCCACATTAATTGTAGTTTTATTCCACTTTTAATTGTAGTTTTATTCCACTTTTAATTCTAGTTTTATTCCACTTTTAATTGTAGTTTTATTCCACTTTTAATTGTAGTTTTATTCCACATTAATTGTAGTTTTATTCCACATTAATTGTAGTTTTATTCCACTTTTAATTGTAGTTTTAGTCTAGTTTTATTCCACATTAATTGTAGTTTTATTCCACTTTTAATTGTAGTTTTATTCCACTTTTAATTCTAGTTTTATTCCACTTTTAATTGTAGTTTTATTCCACTTTTAATTGTAGTTTTATTCCACTTTTAATTATAGTTTTATTCCACTTTTAATTGTAGTTTTATTCCACTTTTAATTGTAGTTTTATTCCACTTTTAATTGTAGTTTTATTCCACTTTAATTGTAGTTTTATTCCACTTTTAATTGTAGTTTTATTCCACTTTTAATTGTAGTTTTATTCCACTTTTAATTGTAGTTTTAGTCTAGTTTTATTCCACATTAATTGTAGTTTTATTCCACTTTTAATTATAGTTTTATTCCACTTTTAATTGTAGTTTTATTCCACTTTTAATTGTAGTTTTATTCCACTTTTAATTGTAGTTTTATTCCACTTTTAATTCTAGTTTTATTCCACTTTTAATTGTAGTTTTATTCCACTTTTAATTATAGTTTTATTCCACTTTTAATTGTAGTTTTATTCCACTTTTAATTGTAGTTTTATTCCACTTTTAATTGTAGTTTTATTCCACTTTTAATTGTAGTTTTATTCCACTTTTAATTGTAGTTTTTGTCCAATTTTAGTCTAGTATTCCACTTGAGTCTAGTGTTCCACTTGAGTCTAGTGTTCCACTTGAGTCTAGTGTTCCACTTTAGTCTAGTATTCCACTTGAGTCTAGTGTTCCACTTTAGTCTAGTATTCCACTTGAGTCTAGTGTTCCACTTGAGTCTAGTGTTCCACTTGAGTCTAGTGTTCCACTTGAGTCTAGTGTTCCACTTGAGTCTAGTGTTCCACTTGAGTCTAGTGTTCCACTTGAGTCTAGTGTTCCACTTTAGTCTAGTGTTCCACTTGAGTCTAGTGTTCCACTTTAGTCTAGTATTCCACTTTAGTCTAGTATTCCACTTTAGTCTAGTGTTCCACTTTAGTCTAGTGTTCCACTTGAGTCTAGTGTTCCACTTTAGTCTAGTATTCCACTTGAGTCTAGTGTTCCACTTGAGTCTAGTGTTCCACTTGAGTCTAGTATTCCACTTGAGTCTAGTATTCCACATGAACATAATGTGAGTGCTCCAAAGCATAGAACCTCTGCCTCCACTAACCGGCTCTCTGTGACTAACTCACTTTCTGGTTCCAGGGCTTCTGATTCCTAAATCTTTATTTAACTAATATTTCTTCCTCCTCCTCCTCGTCTGTTTCTGTTGCAGGCGCTCTGGTTGTTCATGTTTAATCTCAGAGTTTATTAAGAGTGGTCGTTCCTCTGAAACAACTGCTGGTTCTGTTTCTGGTTCTGGTTCTGATTCTGATTCTGGTTCTGGTTCTGGTTCTGGTTCTGATTCTGATTCTGGTTCTGGTTCTGGTTCTGGTTCTGATTCTGATTCTGGTTCCGGTATAAAGACAGCTCCAATTGACATGAATGTAATGTAATTGGAATTAGAATAATCCAAACTTTAACTCATAAAGACATTAATATTATTATAATTAATAACTTCATGAAAGCCATCAGCAGTCGTCCGTTGGTTGAATCACCACTCTTAAAAATGACTCAAAATCATCATTATTTTGCACTGATTTGCTCCGAATTAACAACTTCTTAAGAGACAATCTTCCAGGCATCGTTTGTTTATCTGTCTTTGATTTATGTATTCTGTGTTCAAGCATCAGTCTGTCCTCATTCACTGTCAGTGTTTGTTTGTGTTGCAGCCAGGATCTCTCGGAAAATTAGCTACTCTGGTGAAAAGTCAGATCCGGGTAAGAAACACTAAAAACTGGATTTTAATTTGTGATCATTTTTGACTATAAATGGACAAGATTGTGGACTCAAAGTGACTACAAATGGACACAAAATGACTACAAATGGACTCAAAATGACTACAAATGGACACAAAAATGACTACAAATGGACACAAAATGACTACAAATGGACTCAAAATGACTTAAAACCAACCTAAAAGACACAAATTACTTCAAAGAGACACAAAATGACTGTAAATGGACACAAAATGACCGTAAATGGACACAAAATGACTGTAAATGGACACAAATTGACTACAAATGGACTCAAAATGACTGTAAATGGACACAAAATATGAGAGGAGTACGAGAGGGTTAGGGAAACATTTTAATAGAGATCTGAGCAAAATTCTGTGGAAGAAATTAACAAAAAGTGTGAAAATATGTCAGCAAAGAAGTCAGTTCAGAGAAAACATTTGAAAAATGTAATTGTTGGGAAAAAGTAAAAAGTCAGAAAAAAAAGTCAAGATTGTGAAGAAAATGACACAATTCTCAATAAAGTGAACATTCTAATAAAAAAGTGAATTTTTAAAAAATTCTTACATTTTTAGATAAACTAAATTGTTAGAAAAATTAATAAAACTGAAAAAAGTCCACAAATTGAAAATAATCAGAGAAAACTCAGAATAATAGTAAAATTGCTGAAAAACTCTGAACATTGAGAATTATTTTTTATAAATCTGAAAAAAGTGAAAATTCTGACAAAAAATGTAAAAAGTAATAAAAAAAAACTGAAAAAGGAAAAATCTGAAAGTAAAAATTCTCAAGAGGGGAAACTCCGGAAAATTCATAAATCTGAAAAAAGTGTAAATAGTTAAAATTCTCATTGAAGTCAAACTCTGAGAAAAAGTTAAAAACAAATTAAATTCCATAGAAAAGAATCTAGATTTGAGATCTTTTTTTAAATTAAGGAAAGACCCTAACCCTTCACACTCCACTCACATGCCTCTCTTCCTCCTCTCATCTGATCCTTCTCATCCTGTACAGCTCTGATTATTATGGGATATCCCTCTGTATCAGTATAAATGTTATCCTCTGATGTTGGTCATTATTGAGCACGCTGTGTCATCCTGTACAGCTGTGATTATTATGGGATATCCCTCTGTATCAGTGTAACACACCCTCTGATGTTGGTCATTATTGAGCACGCTGTGTCATCCTGTATAGCTCTGATTATTATGGGATATCCCTCTGTATCAGTGTAACACACCCTCTGATGTTGGTCATTATTGAGCACGCTGTGTCATCCTGTACAGCTCTGTTTATTATGGGATATCCCTCTGTATCAGTGTAAATGTTATCCTCTGATGTTGGTCATTATTAACTGCAGGTGGGCAGAGGGTCACCTGTAAGCAGCCTCTTTATTTTGTGAATGAAGGCGTTCCTGCAAACCGAGCCGTCAGTAGAACTAAGTCAGCCCACAGTGAGTGGACCTGAAGTGGGATAACTGGTACTAACTGGTACTAACTGGTACTAACTGGTACTAACTGGTACTTCTTCCTGAGGAGAATGCAGACACTCAGAGACACTAAATCTTCTGTTTGCAGTGAATCCTCCTGAAGAACACACTATGGGCGCTGTGTGAGTGTGTGTGTGTGTGTGTGTGTTGGGATCCTCTTTAGGTTGTTTGGACTGCTGTAAGAACAGTAATGAGGCAGCATGAATAATTGTGGCTACTTGAATGCCAGTTTTGCACTCAAAACTACTTCAAAAAGACACAATATGACCATAAGAATACACAAAAGTGCTTCAAATTATCACAAACGGACACCAAATGACTAAAATCCCTCGAAAAGACACAATATTACTACAAGTGACACTAAAGAGACACTAAATGACTAAAATCCCCCCCCAAAGACACAATAGGACTTCAAAGACACAATATGACTTCAAAGACACCATAGGACTTCAAAGACACAATATGACTTCAAAGACACAATATGACTTCAAAGACACCATAGGACTTCAAAGACACAATATGACTTCAAAGACACAATATGACTTCAAAGACACCATAGGACTTCAAAGACACAATATGACTTCAAAGACACCATAGGACTTCAAAGACACAATATGACTTCAAAGACACCATAGGACTTCAAAGACACAATATGACTTCAAAGACACCATAGGACTTCAAAGACACAATATGACTTCAAAGACACTATAGGACTTCAAAGACACAATAGGACTTCAAAGACACAATAGGACTTCAAAGACACAATATGACTTCAAAGACACCATAGGACTTCAAAGACACAATATGACTTCAAAGACACCATAGGACTTCAAAGACACAATATGACTTCAAAGACACAATATGACCCCAAAAAGACACAATATTACTACAAGAGACACTAAAGAGACACTAAATGACTAAAATCCCCCCCAAAGACACTATAGGACTTCAAAGACACAATATGACTTCAAAGACACCATATGACTTCAAAGACACCATATGACTTCAAAGACACAATATGACTTCAAAGACACAATATGACTTCAAAGACACAATATGACTTCAAAGACACAATTGGACTTCAAAGACACAATATGACTTCAAAGACACCATAGGACTTCAAAGACACACAAAAGAGACTCAGAATGACCACTGAAAGTCTTCTAACTAAACAGTGTGTGTTGCTCCTCTGCAGGAGGTGTGGGGGGGGGCCCGTTGTCTAACGGTTCTTTTTCACTTTGAGAATGTTTTATTTTGATTGAAGGAAACCTTTAAAGAAACGTCTCTCTGTGAAAACGGATTCTGTCTCTGCTGCTGGGACGGGAGGTTTTCAGGTGTTCAGATGAGACCTTATTCCAGTAGAAATATGTCTGGTAGTCGCACAAATAATTCCAATAAATGTACAAATTGCACCCTGCCTGACTTGCAAAATACTTTTTTTTTTATTGTAAAACATGTGTGCAGGGATCCATAAAAAACAATAGAAGGCATTCAATTAATTATTCTAAAAATGAGGCTTTAATTGGTTTGAAAGGCTTTAAAAATCATAAGACATGTTAGGTACTATTTTGGGAATCTTACTAAAAGTATTTGGTAATATCTATTAATATAATAATAACACAAAAATGTACCAAATGCCTCTCGTTGCACAGATCAGATGAAAAATTGTGCTTAAAATTGGTTTTAAATGTGTTCAAAATGTCATTTAAAAAGCTTCAAAAGTCTTAAATCTAATTTGTCATAAACTGTAGGAGCTTTTCTGTAAATCATGGCTACATTTAAATAATATAAAGTAATAATTTGTCTCTCATCGTAGACTACCGAGCATATTTTCTCAGGAATAACGTCTCACACATGTCTCAGCAGGAGCTAGCGCTAACATGCTAACTGTTTTCCTGCTCTCTGATCCTTCACAGCGACCTCCTCTCTAAATATATGAAACATTATATTATTAATAATGATATCTCCTCTCTTCTCTTTAGAAGTGAACGCCTCGTTCTCTCGCTCCCGCAGCTCGAGCGTCAGCAGCCTCGACAGAGAGTCCCGAGAGGTCATCTCCTCCCTGTGTTTCTGTGAGAGTTTCCCCAGGAAAGGTGATGCGTCTCTGGGTCCTTCTCTGCTGCTGGGCACCTCCATGGGCTCCGTCATCATGGTGGCCCTCAGCCTGCCCCCCCCCGGGGAGACGAGGCTGCAGCAGCCTGTGGGGGTCGCCCCCTGTGGTGAGGACACTATATTACATTATATTACGTTATATATACTGATTTTTCAACTTAAATGGACACAAATGACTACATACTGTATGGGCGTAAAATAACTACAAATGAACTCAAAATCACTACAAATGGTCAAAAATCTACACCAAAATGACTGCAAATGGATTATTAATGACTATAAATGGACTCAAAATGACTACAAATTGACACAAATGGACACAAAATGACTACAAAAGGACTACAAATTAACATAAAATGACTACGAATGGACACAAATGACTATAAATGGACACAAATGAACACAAAATGACTACAAATATCCCCCTTAATTGTATTTTAAGTTGTTTTATGTATTAGTTATAACTGAATCTCTGTATGTCCCTGTTTAGGCTCTCTGGAGACCCTGAAGGCGGGGATCCTCACGATGGCTCTTCTGGACTCCAGTGGCTCCCTCCTCCCCCCCCCCCTCTGAACAATGGTACGACCCGAACGGCTCTGAGGAGGACCAGCGGGAGAAGAGGCGGCGCCGCCCCCCCTCGCCCCCCCCCTCAGTGGAGGGTCAGGACTCTCAGTTCCTGGTCCTGGTGTCAGAGAAACAGGCCAAGGTGCTGGCTCTGCCCTCTCAGAGCCGCCTCCACAAACACAGCATCAGCGAGAGCTCCTTCGTGCTGAGGGCCGACGTGGTGACGCTGGGGGGGGGCAACTGCATCGCATGCTTCTGTGCCAACGGACACATCATGACCCTCAGGTACCACAACAACAACAACAATACACAACAATACACAGACACATCATGACCCTCAGGTACCACAACAACAACAACAATACACAACAATACACAGACACATCATGTCCGGCAGTGGCTCAGTCAGTAGGGGCTTGGACTGGGAGCCGTAGGGTCGCTGGTTCAAGTCCCCGACCAGACCTAAATATGGAATGTGGACTTCTACTTGGAGAGGTCCCAGTTCACCTCCTGCCCTGCCGTGGTGCCCTTGAGCAAGGCACCGGACACCCCCCTTCCCCCCCACTCCCATTGCTCCCCGGGCGCTGTACAATAGCTGCCCACTGCTCCTAGTACTAGACTCCTTGTACTAGGATGGGTTAAAAGCAGAGGCCAAATTTCACTGTGTGTGCTGTGTGCTCTGCATGTGTGACCATTAAAGAGGGTTTCATCCCTCCCTATTCAAATTCAAAATTCATGACCCTCAGAGACCTGTACTACGAAGCTGGTTCAACCTAACCTGGATATGTTGGAGTTAGCCGGTTGGCCCAATCCAAAACATACGCGCTGGCGCTAAGCGGTCCTACGACGCTGGTTATCAAGTGGATCGCTCAAGCCAGCCGTGTCCTATCTAGTTAGGTGCGCGTTCACATCAAAGGGGTGGTATTTGGAGCATTCGACCAATCACAAACATGGACAAGCGTACTGACAGCGCAGCGCCATACTTCCTGAATGAAAAGTGAACTTTAATATTAGTCAAATATGAAGAAGTTAAACTTTAAACATCCATGACTTAAACACTTTATCCAGGATCAAAGCCACATAGCTGCACCTGCAAGGTGAATACAGCTGGTAAAAGAAAAAGTGTTTGAATGCGTACATTAACAGGTTTATGAAATCACTGCCCCGTCCAAGACACGATCTGACTTTAATTACATTTGACTCGAGTGTTTCGTCAACTTAATGTGTTGCTTAAAATAATACTTCTGCATACAGTATGTGACACTGTGAGTGTTGCACGGCCAGATACGGCTCAGCTGACTCAGATAAGGAGATATATGATACATTATGATGTGATATGATATGAATGATAATGGGACACATCGACGTCTGCACTCACAGTGCCGCGGACTGTACTTAATGTTACTCTGATCCGGTTACTTATGTCGTGGCAGATATTTAAGTAAGCTTTCTTAATGCTAATGTTATAATAGTCAGATTGCTCTGAAGATGGGAGGGGATATTCTATTAATGTTCACGTTCACACAGTCAGTTGATTTTTGCCGGCCGTCTTTCCTGCAACGGCAGTTTTTCTGTATTTCCTCTATCCTGTAATATGACTTGATAGCTTTAAACTCCGCACACGGAGCTCTGATTGGTCAGCAGGCGGTGCTTTCACTGAGTTGATCTCTTAGCCTGCAACCTAACCTGCTCCCGAGGAGGTTAGCCGCTCAGCATAAGTTACCATGGAGATCTAGCCCGCTAAAAAGAGAACCAGCGTCGTAGGACCGGAAAGCCAGAGTTTTCCCTGAAGTCAGCCGGCTAAGAGAACATCCGGCTTCGTAGTACAGGCCTCTGGTAGCACAACAACAACAACAATACACAGACACATCATGACCCTCAGGTACGATAACATATAGGGTTATAAATACCTGGGGGAGTCACAATAAGTGACTTTCACTCTGAACCCCTGTGAGATATTGGGTTTAATGACTGTTGCTCTATTTTAGAATACATTAGAATACAAATACTTATGTAAATGTGAGAAGTTAAAGTTAAAATATGCAAATTTTACTCAAATTAATAACAACAATAAAACATTTTGAAATATTTCAGGGTTTTTTAATGAAGCTTTGAACGTCTGTCGTCATGTTCTACAGACTTCATCCCTCTTAGATAAAATGAATAAATAATAAGTATACTTTTTTTATTATTGTGGTCATATAGATGTACTTTATGTTGAAGTTAGTTCAGATTATTTAACATTTATTCTGCAAAACCCTTAAATATAGACTTACATTTGAAGTTTCTATTGAGGTTTTTAAAAGTCTGTCGCCCCTAAAAATTCAATAAAAGATTCTTAATTTGAATAAATAGTAAATGTTATTTTGTATTAATTCTTAATGTGTCCCCCCCCTCTCAGTTTGCCCAGCTTGCGCCCCCTGCTGGACGTGAACTACCTCCCTCTGACGGACATGAGGATCGCCAGAACCTTCTGCTTCTCTCACCTGGGCCAGGCTCTCTACCTGACCTCCCCCACGGAGATCCAGAGGCTCACCTACAGCCAGGACACCTGTGAGCACAGACAGGTGAGGGGGGTTACTGTAACAGCCAGGACACCTGTGAGCACAGACAGGTGAGGGGGGTTACTGTAACAGCCAGGTAACAGCCAGGACACCTGTGAGCACAGACAGGTGAGGGGGGTTACTGTAACAGCCAGGACACCTGTGAGCACAGACAGGTGAGGGGGGTTACTGTAACAGCCAGGACACCTGTGAGCACAGACAGGTGAAGGGGGTTACTATAACAGCCAGGACACCTGTGAGCACAGACAGGTGAGGGGGGTTACTGTAACAGCCAGGACACCTGTGAGCACAGACAGGTGAGGGGGGTTACTATAACAGCCAGGACACCTGTGAGCACAGACAGGTGAGGGGGGTTACTGTAACAGCCAGGACACCTGTGAGCACAGACAGGTGAGGGGGGTTACTGTAACAGCCAGGACACCTGTGAGCACAGACAGGTGAGGGGGGTTACTGTAACAGCCAGGTAACAGCCAGGACACCTGTGAGCACAGACAGGTGAGGGGGGTTACTGTAACAGCCAGGACACCTGTGAGCACAGACAGGTGAGGGGGGTTACTGTAACAGCCAGGACACCTGTGAGCACAGACAGGTGAGGGGGGTTACTATAACAGCCAGGACACCTGTGAGCACAGACAGGTGAGGGGGGTTACTGTAACAGCCAGGACACCTGTGAGCACAGACAGGTGAGGGGGGGTTACTGTAACAGCCAGGACACCTGTGAGCACAGACAGGTGAGGGGGGTTACTGTAACAGCCAGGACACCTGTGAGCACAGACAGGTGAGGGGGGTTACTGTAACAGCCAGGACACCTGTGAGCACAGACAGGTGAGGGAGGTAAGGGAGGGGGGGTGAGGGGGGTTACTGTAACAGCCAGGACACCTGTGAGCACAGACAGGTGAGGGGGGTTACTGTAACAGCCAGGACACCTGTGAACACAGACAGGTGAGGGGGGTTACTGTAACAGACAGGTAACAGCCAGGACACCTATGAACACAGAGAGGGGAGGGGGGTTCCTGTAACAGCCAGGACACCTGTGAACACAGACAGGTGAGGGGGGAGGTTTATTACTGTAACAGCCAGTTACATTGTTCAATATCTTTATTTCTACAGGTGATATAGTTTATATTAAAGATGTGGATGTTTTACGAGATGCTGAGTGAGTTAGTAATACCTGTATTTCTGCAGGTAATATTTATATATATTTCTGATGTTCCAGGAGATGCTGAGTGAGCTGTTCAGCCCGGTTGAAACCCCCGAGGCTCCGAACAGAGGATTCTTTAAAGGTCTGTTCGGAGGAGGAGCTCAGTCTCTGGACCGGGAGGACCTCTGTGAGTACACATATATCACATTATATACTTTATGATCATGTTATGCTTTTTATTTGCTCTATTCTAATGGATTCTGACAGATTTTCAGAATAAAAGATGAGCAAATCCTGCAGAAAAAATTAAATATTTTTTTCTTGACTGTAATTTGAAATCCAGATATATGTGATTGTTATTTTGCTTTAAACTGCCCCAAATATAATTAGGATGCTATTTATTATTAATATTACTCTGGTGTTAAACCTCTAACTATCTAAGTTAGTGTTGTCAGGAACCTCAAAGCTTTTATTTTGAAAGGATTTTAGTTTGAACATGTTTTATGTTTAGTTTGATTCCACTTTTACTCTAGTAAAACTGATATTAATATAATTATCTCTCCCTCTTTGTGTCAGTTGGAGAGTTGGGGTCTGGGAAGGCGTCTCGCAGCCTGGCCCAGCTGATCCCCGGCTCGGGGGGGGATGGAGGGGATGAAGGGAGCGGCTTCAGGAGTCGTGGGAGATCTCGCTCGTGCTCGCATCGCTCTGGACGAACGAGGACAGAAACTCGGGGAACTGGAGGACCGCACGGCCGCCATGATGAACAGCGCCGACTCCTTCTCCAAACACGCCCACGATGTACGGCACTCATCACGGCTAATTAAAACAGATCAATTATTTACTCCTTTAGACCTCAGGAGGAACTCGTTTAGTGATTTTTTATCATTAATAGTTATAGGTTTTTAGTGTACTTTCATTTTATTCCAGTTTGGGTTTCATTTTAGTCTCCTTTTATTCCAGACTTTAGTCTAGTTTTATAGCAGTCTTACATTTAAGTCGTTTTATTCCAATTTGAGTCATATTTTAGTCCTATTAAAGGGGACCTATCATGCAAAAGTCACTTTCTGATGTCTTCTCTACATCAAGATGTGTCCCCGGTGTGTCGGGGAACTCACGCAGCGTCAGAAAATAAAACCCTCTCTCTTTTCCTCCGTACCCAAATCTCTAAAAACGGGGGAACAACGGAGCTGATCCAGATTTGCGTCCGATATGACGTAATATCTGAAATGTGGACCCACGGCCCAATCAGAAACGTTGCTATCAGAAACAATGCCCGACTGTTTTGGACGTAATATGGTCGGTGTTTACATTAGCATCGCTAACACTCAGAGCTAACCTGTACTGGAGAGCATGTGTGTGAAGAAGCAGGAAATAAAAAGGAACTCACCTTGTGGTATAACCGGCAAGAGAGAAAGCCTTTGAGCTCCATACTGTTTCAGAAATAATCCTTGATGTGGTTTAGAACAGGATGGCGTTTTATCACAGTAGAATGTATTTTTATCTCCGGTAGAATTCTGAGCAGGCATTAGCTCCGCCTCCTCTTTTTTTTGTTGTTCAAGCTAAGGACCCAGAATCCGCGTTTCTCTCACAGCTGGAACAAAGGGAAGTGAGGGATTTCTAAAATGCATGATCTGTTTGTATTTTGAGCAAAACACCTCATAGACATGTTTTTATATATTTGTACTGAGACCCATAATAAATGCCTAGAAATAGCATGATAGGTGACCTTTAAAGAAACATTTATTAGGGTTTTCGTCTATTATTAACACATTTTATTCCAGTTTGAATATCATGTTGGTCTCCTTTTGTTCCAGACCAAAGTGCAGTTTAATTGAAGCTCTACTTTTGTTAAAGTCAAGCTTGTTTTTGTAACATTCCCCCTCTCCTTCCCCTCCCCAGATGATGCTGAAGTACAAAGATAAGAAGTGGTATCAGCTCTGATGCAGCGTCGAGCCGAACTCTGATCACATCTTCCTCCTCCTCTTCATCACCTCAGAGAGAAGAGGAGGAGGAGCTTTAACCCCTCGTATATATCTCATAAATATATATATCTCTACACCCGCTGAGAGGAAGGACTTTATTCCTCTCTGCGGACTCAAAGGAGGAGAAAAGTCTGACGTCCTTTGAACCAATCAGGACGTTTGTGAAGGACGACCAATCAGTGAAGTCTGTTCCTGCTTTAAATGATTCTTCTGTCTTTAATTCGTCATGTGTGTGTGTCCAGACGGAGCCTCGTAGAGCACTTGAGTCTCAGAATAAGGGCTGGTATCATCTCACACCGTTTTATTGTTTCAGGAGAAGAACATACGGAGTCACTTTGCTTTCATTTTAAAATCAAGTTTATTTATTACGAGGAAGGTAAAATAGATACGAAGTTTGTGTGCCGGGCATCGTTTTTGTTTGTTTGTTTTTTGCCAATGAAATGCACAAAACAGTGCTGAAATGTTTACCCCCGAAGAGTTTACATTAATATATTAGGAGAGTTCTTACACTGGAGAGACATCTGTATGAAGAGGGAGACACTGCAGGTGAACGGGGTCAAATGTTAAATATCACCACTTCATGTTTAACTATGCAAATGAGGCGTCACGTGGCGTCACGTGGCGTCACGTGGCTTCATGTGTGGTCATGTGATGTGTGTGAGTTTAGGAGAAATCTGCAGACTCAACCAGACACAGTTGGTGAAAGAAACTCCTAAATGTGGATTTGAGTCTGAAAGAAGACGTGTAGTGGAAGATAAATAGCCCAAAATATCACAATTACAACCCTATCTTTACCTGCGGTGTCTCTCCTTATCATGATTAGCGTAAATGTATATTTTGGTTACAGTTTTATTGTGATGAAGAATCTATAAACATGATTATTCCGATTTATTTTTTCCACATCAGCTGTTTTTTTTTGTGTCTAACTTTCTCTATGCCTTCAACGCAGGGGTGTGTGTGTGTGTGTGTGTGGTGGGTGTGTGTGTGTGTGTGTGTGTGTGTGTGTGTGTGTGTGTGTGTGTGTGTGTGTGTGTGTGTGTGTGTGTGTGTGTGTGTGTGGTGTGTGTGTGTGTGTGTGTGTGTGTGTGTGTGTGTGTGTGTGTGTGTGTGTGTGTGTGTGTGTGTGTGTGTGTGTGTGTGTGTGTGTGTGTGTGTGTGTGTGTGTGTGTGTGTGTGTGTGTGTGTGTGTGTGTGTGTGTGTTCGTCCGGTGTTGTAGTTATTAGATGTACATCCATGAGCTGTGAGGATATGCTGCTCTTACTGTGGGAGCATTATCTGTGGGGCTTTTATTTTGAAAGGACATTATCTGTGGGGCTTTTATTTTGAAAGGACATTATCTGTGGGGCTTTTATTTTGAAAGGACAGTCTGTGCAGCTTCCTGCCGTCTCTGTTTCTCCACACCAAAGAGTCGCTTCACTCGGATGTCTTTGAGTTTTACTGTAAATCCAGAAGAAGAACTGCTGAAGAGAAAATAGTTTATTTACTAAATTAGATCATGTGACATCGGGCCTCATGCGGGAAGATTTATCTTGAATATTACTATACTTTATTTTTCAGATTTATTTTGTTTATTTTTCAGATAAACATTTTCTCCAGAATATTTATTTTTTTCAGAATTTTGTTTAATTTTCAGAATTTTTTGTTTATTTTTCATATTTTTTGTTTATTTTTCAGATTTTTTTGTTTAATTTTCAGAATTTTTTTCAGATTTGATTTCATGTTTTTTTTGTTTAATTCTCAGGTTTTGTTCATTTTTAAGTTTTTGGGGTTTTTCTTTTCCCCAGATGCACAAACCTTCTTAAGCATCCAAATCGGCTCTAAATCATGAATCTTATTGAACCAATTATTAACATATAAAAGCCCCTTTATAGGCAAATATTAACTAAGAATTGAAGAGATTCTACCAAAAAATGAGTGTAAACATAGTTAAAAAAAATCTTGTTTGATATTACATTTTCAAGAGAGTCATCACAGGTAAATAAAAAACTATTAAAAGCAGTAAGTAAGGTTTTATTGTTAAAACGACATGGTATTTATGTAATAATCACATTATAATTACTTAAACATAATTATCTAAATGTGATTACATGGTATTGATGCATAAATAAGACAATTTGTGGATTTGTTCTTGTATATTGATCAAAGTCTTATCTAGAAAACAAGCGGTAAAATCCCAGAAATGATTAAATAAATCTCCTCCTGCATGAGGCCCATCGACTCACGGACAATGTTTGCAGACTTAAAGCTAAATTGTTGGACATTTTCACCTATTTTTCTGATTTTTGATGTTATTAAATCCACAATATAAGCAGCTTTTTGCCATACATTGATCATCCTGTACCTGCTGTGATCCACCTGTACCTGCTGTGATCCACCTGTACCTCCTGTGATCCTCCTGTACCTGCTGTGATCCACCTGTACCTGCTGTGATCCACCTGTACCTCCTGTGATCCACCTGTACCTGCTGTGATCCACCTGTACCTCCTGTGATCCTCCTGTGAGTCTGAAGCGTTGTGGGTTTGCACTATTTCTAAATAATTTGATTTAATGTGTTTTATTTTTGTCCCATTTGATGTTGCTTTAAAAGGACCAAAACATGACAGTATGCTGATCTACGTCATTTGCCAATTAACCAATTAACACTTGTCATATATCAGATATTATATTTATACATTTCAAGATTTAAAATGAAACCTTTAATGTCCTTTTTGTTCTGGGGGGAGTTACTCCAAACCGTGGTCGTGCATTATCGTGCAGAAGGTTATAATAATAAATATAATAATAATAATAAAGATATTATTGTTATTGATGCAGATGTGTGTGTGAAGGATGCATGATCTTCAGTGTGTGTTCCCCCTCCTGCAGATGTGTGTATTCACCTGAACAAAGCTGAAGGTTTCCTGTGTGAGAGATTATATATAAATGATATTATATTTATTTATTTCTGCCGTACGTCCCTCCGTCCTCTGGGATGAAGATCTGTGGAGACGCAGTATTTTTCTCATATTCGGCACATTTTTGTACAGTTTTATTAAAATACATTTCACATGGATGTCTCCGACTTAATCTGCTGCCACAAAGTTTAGACTGTAGATACAGGATATATAGATATTATTGTGCAATGGGAAATAAATGTAAAACTGATCCTGTCTCCTGTGTTTGATTTACGCTTTATTAAGAATTGATTATTATTATTTCGATTTTTGTATGTATTTCTTATAATTATAATTATTGTTATTATAAATATTCTAAAAGTAGAAGTACTCAGACCTTTTACTTGAGTACAAGTAGAAGTACACAGATCTTGTACTTGAGTAAAAGTAGAAGTACTCCGATCTTGTACTTGAGTAAAAGTAGAAGTACTCCGATCTTGTACTTGAGTAAAAGTAGAAGTACTCAGATCTTGTAGTTGCATGCGCAGCTCGAGTACCAATAACAACAAAGTCACCTGTGACACCTGCCAGTGTCGTCAGAGGATCTGTTCCCAGAATCTTCTCGCGAGCACACAAGAATTCTGAGTGACAGGATACTCTGGCGGTCATCCAGGACTCATAGAACCGTACTTACAGACGTAACTATCATTTTATTTTGTCCCTACTGACCGCCAGAGGCAGTGCTTTAGCACTGGATGACTTATACCAACCATGTCATGAAGAATCCAAGCCCTTGCTCACTATTGGAAGCAGCGGAGCTCGGCAAAAGGACCACGCCCAAAGGATGGGGAGTGGCGACATTAACCCGATAAAACCTGGAGAACGTGCCAGAAGACGCCTACGACGCCGCGGTGCAGATGGTCTCCAGGGGCGTCCCTCTCAGGGCAGCCCAAGATGTTGAGATGCTCCTTGTAGAGTGGCATCTCAGCCCTGATGGCAGGGGGCGGCCACTGGCCTCATAGGCATGTGAGATGGTATCGACAACCCAGTGGGGCAGCCGCTGTTTAGAGGGCCCAACCTCTTTTAGTGCCGCCATCGCAAACAAAGAGCTGCTCCGACTGCCGTATACAGGCAGTAGCATCGATATACGCCCTTACACTGACCTGTGGCACCTCCATCGTGGCGCCGTCGACCCGAACATGTCGGGCAGAAATAGCAGCCACCTAAACTCTCAAAGTGGAGTGAGAACGTCCGCTATCTAGAAGGGACTGCAGTCTGGGCAACAGTGGGCATGTTGTCCGAAGGAACAAGCACATGCTTGCCCCCCAGTTGGGGTAAAAAGTGCGTGAGTGCAAGCTGCACAGCCCGAAGCTCTATCACGTTGACATGGCGTGCACCCTCCTTGGCAGACCACTGACCCTGAACAGTCCTGCCCTGCCACACTGCACCCCACCCTGAGACACATGCATCTGCAGTGACAGTCTCCCGGCGGGATGGGATGGCGCTCCTGGGCACACCCATCAAAAGATAGGCCCTGTCCCTCCAGCGGGACAGAGAGTGGAGGCACCGCTGAGACACCCTGACTCTTCTGTGCCTGTGCCACTTGGCGTCCAAGTGAAGGCTGTGCATGGGGCGCAGCGACAGCAGGCCTAAGGGCACAACGGCTGAGGCAGCCGTCAGTCCGCCCAAGAGCCGGAGGAACTGAATGTAAGGCACCATCTTGCCCAGCCTGAAGATGAGAAGAAGAAAATGTCGTCCACACGACGAGGTGACAGGTAGGCCCTAATGGCGGCCGAATCTAGGACCATCCCCAGGTAAGTGACCTGTTGGGAAGGGTCCAGGCAACTCTTCCTGGTGTTACTGTTAGACCCAACCGGGCTACGTGAGATAAAAGGCGAAACCAGCCAATCGTCTAAATACGGCAGGACCTTCACGCCTTGCGCCTGCAGGGGTGCGAGAGCTGCCACCACGACCCTGGTGAACACCCTTGGAGAGAGGGAGAGACCAAAGGGAAGCACCCGGAACTGATAGTGTCGGCCCTGAAAGGCAAACCTCAAGAACTTCCGGTGGTGAGATGCAACCGGCACGTGGAAGTAGGCAAGTAGGCAGTGCGAACCACTCCCCCTGTGCATGTGCTGTGGTCAGCATATGGAATGGCAGCACCTTCAGGAATCTGTTGATTCCTCTGAGGTCCAAGATCAGACGAAATCCGCCGACTTTCTTGCTCACGAGAAAGTACGCAGAGTAGAACCCCCCGGCTGAATCAGAGGGTCTACTGGCTCGATTGCGCCCTTGGCCAAGAGGACGGACAACTCTTGGGCCAGAGCTAAGGCCTTCGCCGAATCGCTGACAACTGTCATTTTGACCCGGCCGAAGGCTAGGGGCCGGAACTGCGGTTCGTACCCCTGGGTTAAGGTGGAACCACCCAAGGGTCGGAAGTACAGGCAGCCCAGTAACTGAGCTGCTGCTGGGAAAAGCAGCCGACGACCGGCCCCGAGACTTCGGGGCCTAGCCCCCCGGCCTCCGGAGCCCCTTGGGGGGCGCCGGTAAGGCTCTGAGGCACGAGGCTGCCTAGAAGGCCGGCGACCGGGGGCAAGAAAGCCACCGGGAGGCGGTTGAGTGGGCCGCTGGGACCTCCGCATACCACCACTGTAAGCTGGTGGCTGAGTGGGGCTGCTAGAGGGGCCCCTGGGCCTGCTGGGAGTGGGCACAGGCCTATGAAGACCCGAGAGCTGCTGCCTGGTCCGCCTAGCTTGGGCAGCACGCTCCAGTGCCTCCAGGACAGCTGCCCCAAACAGCTCCCCTGGCTCGACTGGCACACTACGGAGGACATGTCTCCGACAGTGGTGACTGAGCAAGCCAAACCTGGCGACGAGTCTGCACCAATAAGGACATAACTCGTCCCAATTCCCTAGACATTAGGGCAAAGGCTTGCAGTGATGCATCACTGAGGCCCAGCAAAGAAGGCTCGGCCGGAGCCTGCTGCAGAGAGGTAGAGACAGCCAGCATCAGATGGGACAGGGAGTTCCCGTTACGACCCATGCTTGCCGCTGCGTCGTAGGCCTTACAGAGCAGTTCGTCTGTGACCCTGCACTGAGGCCGAGGGCACCTGGCATCAGGCCTTGGAGCCTCATCAGGAGCCAGAATCGGGGAGGCGATGGCAGGCTCAATGGATGGCAAGCGACCCAGCCCCACCCTCGCCGGACCCTGCATGGCAGCAGAGTGGGAGAGGGCCCTGGTGTCTCTCCAGCATGCATGGAGCTCCCTCAGGTACTCCTCTGAAGGAGGAACAGTGAGAGTGACAGGGGCAGGGTTATGCCTGAAGAAGGCCACTAGCCTGAGCCGAGTCGGCTTGCGGAACCTGAAGCTGCAAGCGTGCCAGGACCGCACGAATAATGGCCGCCATGGAGGCGTCCTCCATGCCTTGCAGAGAGCTCTGAGCAGAGGAGTGGGAAGCCTCCTCGGGAGTGAACGGGGCCCCGTCCTCCACCCCTTCATTGAAGAGGTTTAGCCGAAGCCAGTGTTGTAGTCAAGTCACCAATTCACGAGTCCAAGTCACTCTCGAGTCACCACTCTTCGAGTCCGAGTCCAAGTCCGAGTCACCAAGGGAGAGTCGTAGTCGAGTCCGAGTCCAAGTCCGAGTCACCCAAGGAGTGTCCGAGTCGAGTCCGAGTCCGAGTCATCATTACCTGTGTTAATCTTCGTGGATATATGTGTTGAAATGTAGCTGCTCCTCTCCATTGCTTTTATCCTGTCATGTTATACTAATCTGTCTATTGAACTGCTGTGAAGCCAGTTTGGCTACAATTCTTGTAATAGGTGCTATACAAATATAAAGCTTATTACTAATATTAATATTATTATTATTATATATAAATAAACTATGTTTAAAATGAGTTACCTTTTAGAGAAGTGATTATATTTGTATGCCAATATTTTCCTATGGTAAAGTTTTCGTTTTGCACTTTTATTTTGATAGTAATAAGATCGGGACTCTTATTTTGAAGGAACTTTTACCGGTTAAATCGGTTTACTGATAAAGATTTAGCCCCAGAAAGCACATGGCTACTTAGCATGCAAAATGACGTCATTCTGCATGTTAAGTAGCCGTGTGCTTTCATGTTATGGCTGAATCTTTATTTATTGATTAGATCACGTTACTCTGATGATAGTGTTCAAGACAGCCTATATGTCTGAACTCGATGTTTAGAGTAATGTGTTACGGAGCCTTTTCTTCAATATTGTTTCCACATAGAGCATTTTGCGCTGCTCTTTTCCAATGTGGAAGCAGAATGTGTGAAAGCATACAGCACGATGCGGGGTGTGTCTCTAGACATCTTTAGACTGGAATAGCCCAGTACGTGAACTCGCCTCGCAGCCGGTGCACACGCCAGGATAGAGGACATCAGACTCCATAGAAAACTTGCTCGAGTCCGAGTCCGAGTCCAAGTCGGAGGTCAATGTGCAAGTCGAGTCCGAGTCATCGTGGGGGGAAAAATTCACGAGTCCGAGTCCAAGTCCAAGTCAGCGTACGCGATAATTCACGAGTCCGAGTCCGAGTCCAAGTCATCGTGTGCGAGAATTCACGAGTCCAAGTCCGAGTCGCGTCAATCAGTGCGCGAGTCCGAGTCGAGTCACGAGTCCCGTAAATCGGCACTCGAGTCCGAGTCCAGGACTCGAGTACTCCATCTCTGGCCGAAGCCGCTAGTGACATGGCATCCTCAAGCAGAGGTGCGGCAACCGAAGCAAGTCCAAGTCAAATAACACAAATTTAAGGCCAGATAATTAGCTTCTAAAGAAGAGAATGGCATAGAACCGTAGTTACAGTAGTAACCGTGGCCAGTGCTTAAAAGTGTCGGCCAAACGGCTGCACACTAGCAATAATATAATATTGGGAGGGATGAAACCCTCTTTAATGGCCACACATGCAGAGCATGCAGCACACACAGTGAAGATGTTCTCTGCATCTAACCCATCCTAGTGCTAGGAGTCTAGTACTAGGAGCAGTAAATAACAACGATATAGTTAGGCTGAGCCAGAGTCCTGGACTCGGACTCGAGTCGGACTCCAGTGTCGATTTTCGGGACTCGTGACTCGACTCGGACTCGTGCACTGATTGACGCGACTCGGACTTGGACTCGTGAATTCTCGCGCACGATGACTTGGACTCGGACTCGGACTCGTGAATTCTGGCGTACGATGACTTGGACTCGGACTCGTGAATTTTCCCCCCCACGATGACTCGGACTCGACTTGTACATTGACGCTCCGACTTGGACTCGGACTCGAGCAAGTTTTCTCTGGAGTCTGATGTCCTCTATCCTGGCATGTGCACCTGCGTGGCGGGTTCACGTACTGGGCCCCGCTGTTCCAGTCTAAAGATGTCTAGAGACACACCCCGCATCGTGCTGTATGCTTTCACACATTCTGCTTCCACATTGGAAAAGAGCAGCGCAAAATGCTCGTTATGTGGAAAAAAGATTGAAGAGAAGGCTCCGTAACACATTACTCTAAACATCGAGTTCAGACATATAGGCTGTCTTGAACACTATCATCAGAGTAACGTGATCTAATCAATAAAGATTCAGCCGATAACACGAAAGCACATTTTGCATGCTAAGTAGCTATGTGCTTTCTGGGGCTTAATCTTCATCAGTAAACCGATTTAACCGGTAAAAGTTCCTTCAAAATAAGAGTCTCGATCTTATTACTATCAAAATAAAAGTGCAAAACGAAAACTTTACCATAGGAAAATATTGGCATACAAATATAATCACTTCTCTAAAAGGTAACTAATTTTAAATATAGTTAGACATATTATAGGTCATTTACAATAATAATAATAATAATAATATTAGTAATACGCTTTATATTTGTATAGTACTATTACAAGACTTGTAGCCAAACTGGCTTCACAGCAGTTCAATAGACACATTAGTATAACATGACAGGATGAAAGCAATGTAGAGGAGCAGCTTTCAACACACATATCCACGAAGATTAATACATGAAGACTTGTGACTCGGACTTGACTTGGACTCTTCTTAGGTGACTCGGATTTGGACTCGGACTCGAACACAGGTAATGATGACTCGGACTCGACTCGGACACTCGTTGGGTGACTCGGACTTGGACTCGGACTCGAACACAGGTAATGATGACTCGGACTCGGACTCGACTCGGACACTCCTTGGGTGACTCGGACTTGGACTCGGACTCGAAGAGTGGTGACTCGAGAGTGACTTGGACTCGTGAATTGGTGACTTCACTACAACACTGGGCTGAGCCACGCTACTGCTAACTAAATAAAACGAGAAACGCAGCTAAAGCTGGAAACTCAAAATGCTCATGATAGCTCGGGCACAACGCCACAAGCAGAAATTACAAAAGAGCACAATAAGGGCAACTTTATGGGAGAGGAAGCGGGAACACTGTCGTCACCAGAAAGTCTAAGCCAAACAATAAACAAGACAGCAATCAGGACAACTTAGCTGGGAGAGGGTGCGGGGCCGGCCACAGCTCCTGGAGGACGAGTCAACAACCCGCGGCTCCGACTGAATCAGTCGCGAAGCTGCACACGGCCAGCTGCATGCAGAGAAATCCCTCAGATCAAACGTGGAAACGCGCCATTTTGCGTTTCCACTGCAGCGCGGAGCTCGCTTTAAGCGTGCCGAGCCGTGCGGGCCCGTTTTTGGTTGCGTTTCCACTTGGCTTAGTACCGGCTAGCGGGTCCTAATTCACAGTTTTTCTGGCCCCATAAAATCGTGGTTCTAGGGCCAGGAACAACCAGGCTGAGTCGGGCTGAGTATGCTAAGCCAGAGAGAGAATCGCTGGCAAGGGGGCTACAACTACAACAAGATGAACATATTTGACCGTGATTTAATTGTAATACACGTTTCAAAATGATGCCGAAGTAACAACATACTGATACCGGTTAGTAAAAACCATGAATTAATGCTTTGACAAGTCTGCAGACAGACGGCAGACGAAAAACCTTTTAAAATGCGTGTTTTCTAAATGGAGATTGGCTAAGCTAACGTAGTATCTGCTCCGACCGTCCACACTCACAACAACGGCCTATAGAGACATAAATAAAGCAGCGACTGTATTCACCATGACACAGACAGTCTGTGGTTTGTACTTGTTTAACTTTTGTCTAGTTTCTGAACAGATATGAGGAGCTGTGAGCTCTGAGTGCTAACAGCTAACGGCTGTGTTGTTTTTCTGGGGTTCTCATTGAAGATGACGTCACGGCTCCGCCTACACTGCGTTACTATAGATACTACCCCAGTTCCTAAACTGTAATGGAAATGCGCCATAAAGTGAGCCAGTCCTAACGAGGCCTAGCCATACCGAGCGAGGCCGAGTGAGGCCGTGTAGTGGAAATGCGCCTAAACTGAACGCTGTAGGCTACAAGAATGTAGCCACGGTACTCTCGCACAGCGAGAAGATGAAAGGAACAGATCCTCTGACAACACCGGTGTCACGTGGGTCACAGGTGACTTTGTTGTTATTGGTAGCCTACCCCTAAATAATAAAACATGATTATTATTTACAAGAAAAAAGTTGGTTTTATTCAATTTTAATGTATTTTATCACTGGTTTAATTGTGTATTTATTTTATTGTATTAATCATATATCTAATTTTATTTTATTCCTACATTCCCCACAAGAAAAAGGTTCGTTTTATTTATTTTTAATGTATTTTATCAGATCAGTTTTGTATCTATTTCATTTTTTAATTATATATCTCATTTTATTTGTATTCCTACATTTCCCAGAACCCCCAGCAGGTGTCGCTGGTGCTCCGGAGCTCCCGTGATGCAGCGGGGCTCCTCAGAGAGAGCAGCCGGGGAAGAGCTCATTCTGCCGGGGAAGCAGAGCGAGAGGACTGGGGAGAGGAGCTCCAGAAGAACCGAGAATACTGCTCTATCACCGGGTTCATCACATGTTTTACGGTTTATGTTCACTCTGATGTTGTTTATATGTTACATTTTGGCTCTGGATTTATTTAATTTTGAGCTCCGGATGGATGTTTTTTTTACCGACATGCCGGAGCGTTTTTACCCGGGATGAGAGGGACAAAGACGGGGAAGCAGCCTGAGGAGAGCCGGGGTTTCACCGGGTGTTTCTGAGAGGAAAACTGCACAGAAATGTGGAGAAGTGGATTTAAATCTTCTCTCTGAAACTGACCGGACACACCTGGCGGAGAGGAGAGGAAGTAAGTTAAAATGTGTGTTTGATCATTAGTGTCAATTAACGATTTAAACTTTTTAAATCTGAGGGATACAAATGCATGTTAATACATTCAACTTACAAATCTGTGCTAATTACCCATACAATTAAAATATGGATGTATATATAGAGGGCTAGAAGTACTCAGATCTTGTACTCGAGCAAAAGTAGAAGTACTCAGATCTTGTACTTGAGTAAAAGTAGAAGTACTCAGATCTTGTACTTGAGTAAAAGTAGAAGTACTCAGATGTTGTACTTGAGTAAAAGTAGAAGTACTCAGATCTTGTACTTCAGTAAAAGTAGAAGTACTCATCTCGTACTTGACTAAAAGTAGAAATACTCAGATCTTGTACTTCAGTAAAAGTAGAAGTACTCAGATCTTGTACTTGAGTAAAGAAGAAAGTATTCAGATTCACATTAAAGGTCTTCAGACTTTTTAAATACTTTCTAAAGATGAGACCTTTAGGAGGAAGTCAACAAATCCCTGGTTACAGATTCTGAAAGTGCAGATTCAAGTTAAATGAATAAATCTGAGATCATTTTTTTTCTCAAATTTCCATTTTTGATCAGAATTCAGATTCTTTACTTTTTCACAAATTTAAGATTTTTCACATATTTTGATTTATTTTCTCAGATTCTGACTTTCTCTGACATCTTATAGACCCAACATGTTGTTAATGTCTCACTTCCTACACCAACAAAGCGTCCCTAACATAAGCCTCATCTCTCCACAGTGTTGTAATCCGGACGCTCTGACAGATGTGGAGGATTTAAGGTATTTTTTACTTTATAAACCTTATTTCTAAAGATGAGCCAGGGTCCCTGTCTGGTCCTGGAGTGGCTCTCTAAGCTGCACCTGGCTCAGTACCTGGAGGCCTTTGTGGATAACGGATACGATGACCTGGAGGTCTGCAAACAGATCGGGGATCCAGATCTGGACGCCATCGGAGTTCAGATCCAGTTTCACAGACACAGACTTCTCACCGCCGTTCACCGGCTTCAGGACGGGAAGAACAGGAAGTCAGCGGGTTATTATTTCACTTTAGAGACTCTGGACGGAGACAGGAAGTTAAAATCAGGACTTCACGAGTCTTCATGTCCCGGGAAACACAACCTGAAACTGTCCCACTGCAACGACTTTGTGACGTACCCCAAACTGAAGCTGAAGGTCCTGCTGAGAGACAGACTCTCTAAAGACGGGATCAACCTGGGAGAAGCTCCGTACAGCCACAAGGTAGGACAGGCGCTTTGACTTTCTCATGCTATTTTATTTATGTGAGACGTTTACATTTTGGATTCTTTATTTCTAGTCTTTTCATTTCTCCATTGTACAATGCCTTGTCTTTGTAAAGTGTGCTGCTGCCACGCAGACATTTCCATCTCATCTCATCTCATCTCATCTCATCTCATCTCATCTCATCTCATCTCATCTCATCTCATCTCATCTCATCTCATCTCATCTCATCTCATCTCATCTCATCTCATCTCATCTCATCTCATCTCATCTCATGCTTCAGGTCAGTTTGACTGTGAGCTTTCTGGCATACTGTACCGTGTCTCTACTGGATCAGAAAACCTTATTTCTTTGTTAATGAAAGCTGAAATGAGCTCCATACATTTAAACACGCTTCACCAACACAAGATAGAAAGTATTTATTTTGTAAGGAATCTTAACAAAGGAATTTTGAATCTTAAAAAACTCTAGAAAAATGCCATAAATCGTGACATTTTGGGTTTCTAGTACGGGTCGAGCAGCAAAGGGTTATATATTATTATAATATATGAGATGCTTCAGGTAGAACCGCAGGTAGAGTCTCTCATCATGAGCTCAGCAGCTACAGTGGAGATGTGTCAATGACAAACTGAAGTCCTCCTCCAACAGAGCAACATGAATATATATAGGACAAAGAACAAATGAAACAGATCAAATAGTGCAAGAGAATGTTTTGAGATGTGCACGTTAATACAAATAGAATAGAAATAGTGCCAGACATTAGAGTGTGACTTCCTGTGAGCTCTCTGGTATAACTTGATCCAAAAACCCTATTTCTTTGTAATGAAAGGTGAAATGAGCTCCAGGGCCGTCCCTCCCTACAGGCCGGTCATGCAGACTGCGTGGGGCCTCACCTTGAGGAGGGTGCCTCAACTGAGCCTCCACTAGCCCCCCCCCCCCCCTCCCCCCCCCCCCCGTCGACGCTCGCGAAACAGAGGGCCTCATCATATAACTTTGCGTGGGGCCTCATGTTGGCCAGGGACGGCCCTGATTAGCTCCATAATTGAAACACGCCTCACCAAAACAAGAGTATTTATTTTAGAAGGAAACATTTGAATCTTAAAAAACTCTAGAAAAATGCCATAAATCTCTTCATGTGAAGAAGTGATATTTAGGGTTTCTGGTACAGATCTCTGCTCTGTTTCACATAGCTACCAAATGTAATGAAAGTGGGCGTGGCTTATGCACTTTTCTTACGTCCAATCACAAACACATTTTAGATAGCTATTTTTTGCACAAAACTAGATGCAAAATGTTGAGTTTTTGAGCCTCTTTAGGAACCCAAGAATGCGTTCAAAGACATCAAATACAAACTTGAATAATAACAATCGTTACAAGCATACAAAATATAATATAATACATGAAAACATGAACAGGAACCCTTTAAATCCTCCTCATCAGCTCGCTGTAAATAAACAAACGAATGACCTGTGGGTCGATGAGAGCGTTTAACAGTTGGCTGAGAAATAAAGAAATAATGAAATGATCCCGTCTGTTGCACCGGCATTCAGCCAGAAATGAACATTTGCTCTGACATGTTACATAACTTTAATTTGTGGCATTTAGTGGCTATTTTAAATGTGAAATGGAGCCGGATGTAATCTTTCCTTCAGCCAGAATAAATGAATAAAGAGCAGAATATTGTTTCCATGAATATTGAGTCCTGCCTGGAGCTCTGCGTTTGGTTAGTGCTTGAGTTTCTGCAGAGGACATTTTGATCTGCTTTATTTGATTATGTAGCCTCGCTGACATTTAGGTTGAAATAATATTTCTTCCTGCAGAGTGTCTTTGTTTAAAATGTGTCTTTCTTCACTTTCTAAACGTATTATTATTCTTTAGGGCCTTATCGAAGTCGTTTCTGAAGCTCTAAAAGTCTGATGCCATGTTTTATGACGCCGTCACCTCAAGAAAAGGAACAATCCTCAATGTTAATAAAGTGACCCGTGGGGTTTAAAGACATCGTCTCTTGTAGTGAACTTTTCTCCCTCAGACAGGTTTTCAGGTGCAGAAAAGGTCCTTTTTGAGGTTAAACTCCATAAAATCTAGACCCAGAAGAAGCAGACGTCTGTATCTTTGGGGCAAACTTTGACCTATTTAGATTTAAAATGTTGCTGTTGATGATTAAGAAGCATTTTAAACGGAAATAGTACAAATTCGGAAAAATGTAAAATCCTAAGAAAAAACTAAAGATGCTACGCTAACGCTAACGAAGAGTCTCCTCTCCTGATGGTTCCTGTTTCTCTTTGTTCTCCACACTCAGAGTCAGAGGAAGTAGGCCAACTCTTGTTTTGGCTCATTACATTCGGCCCAGCTGACCCAGCTGGACATTTATTCCATTTGAACGTGTGAGGATCAGATTAAAAAGAGTAAAGGGTAGTGGCGAGCCGTCAGGGCCCTCTAGGCCCTAAGATATTCTGCAAAATAATATTTAAAAACATTTAAAAAAAATAAAATAAGAATAATATTTTTCTTTAAAGTGGACCTATCATGCTATATTTGAATAATATAGTGTAGGACCATACCTATATAAGGAATATTTATACTTTTTTTTTGCAAAATACCAAACAGATCATGCATTTTAGCCATGCCTCATTTTGCTCAATTTGACATTTTTTAGCTCTGTGTTTGTAAAGGCAGATAAGGGCAGAACAGCACCACCTACAGGCCTGGCATATGTACTACAGCGTCTCCAGCGCTTTGGAACGGCAATGGCCGTGGCTGTCTCCTCCTGATTGGTGGAGTTGGCCCAATAGCCGTAGCGCCACCGTCCTGACGTCAGGACAGTGTTCAAATCTGGATCAGTTTTTATCAGATCCGTTGCAGCCCCTTTTTTTAGAGATTTGGGTATGGAGGAAAATAGAGAGGGTTGTGTTTTCTGACACTTGGTGAGTTCCCTGGAACACCGGGGACACATATTCATGTAGAAAAGACGTACAAAAGTGCATTTTGCATGATAGGTCCCCTTTAAATATTTCTTTAGTTATATTCTTCATTAGTTTTACCAAAATAACTTGATTTAATTGTATTTAAAATAACATTTCCAAATAAATAAATCCTTAGAATCTGCCTGTTCAGTTTCTGTTGGAATGTGAAGGGTTAAATGAAAGAAGCTCGTCTCTGCGAGGTGAAGACAGGAGCTGATTGGTCCTGCTGTGAATTCACAGAGGGTTGCTATAGTAACTGAACGAGAGAGTAATGTCAACTGACAGTACAATTGACCAATCATATCTTCCCTCTAAATGGGTGGGTTTTATTATCGCGGACTTTATGACAAGTTCCGCCCGCTGTGAAGCTTTTCTTGTTTCCATAGCAACAACAACTTCCTGTCAACAGCGTAAACTCGCCTTCAAAATAAAAGCATGCCAACTTACACTTAAGACATACAACTGCAACGAAAGTAACAAACACAATGCAATATCATTTTCAATTTCAAAGAACACAAATTGGGTTATTTACAGGTGTTGTTTTGTGTGGTAGAGGGTCGCTTTCATTGATGCGTTTTGCACCCTGGGCCGTTGTTTTGATATTCCGCTGAGGTATACGCTGTGACGTAATAATTTATTTTTATTTATTTTGAGGGTCAGAGGGCCTAGGTATAAAAGTCACGGCTCGCCGCTGGTAAAGGGAGACAGGTTGACTCACTTTGAGGCAGTTTCAGCTTCATCAGGTTCATTAGCTGCAGGTTTGTAGGTCAGTGCATTTTATTAGCAGAAATAATTTAAGCGCTGCAGGCAATTTTATTTTTATATTTAAAGCAAATGTGACTCGAAAACACGTCTGATGACCGTCTTCCAGTGAATATGAAGCTATATTTACCAGAGATCCCAGTTTACGAAGTATTTTACAGTCGTGGAATCGCAGTGGTTTGCATCTGTAATCCCACAATGCATCTGTCAGTTTGAGTTTCTATCGATGAGCGATGTGCTTTTCTGACTTTTCTGCTCACGTGACTCGTTCTCACGCCTCAGGACCTTAGTGACTCTGACAGAGGAATACAGAGATTCAATGAGAGCGGGTCGAGATGTTAATGAGCTGAAGTTCATCTGAACACGTGTCACACTGTTCAGAAGAACTATTAAAGTGAAACTGAACAGATTAGCATGGAAAACTGAAAAACCCTAAGTATTATTAACCTTTACGTTGTGTTCGGTCGGCCGTGACCCGTTGAAATGACATAATAACTGTCCGGCTTCATGATATCCTCCAACAGCTAAATGAACACTACGACACTGATTCTGACCATTTTAGCCAAGTCTCTCTAAGAAAAGTGTGTTATTTGGTGCAATGAAATGTTGTGGGTTACTATACTGTAGTTAATAATATAAAGTTCTCTTTCAATTGTATTCTAATATTAGTCTATTATAGTCAGATAACATAATTATCCACTGTATTCACTATGGGGAATATAATGAGTGAATTTAATCCCATTTCTTACTTAAAAATATGTGGTTTCTGTTAGGGAATAATTTGCTTAGGTATTCAACCTTCGACACAGTCACTGTCTCTTTTCCCACGGCATAGGTCTACGGCCTAGGGTTCTGCTGCTATCTCTCTTAAGGAGGGGCAGCTTGGGCGCATTGTTGTTGCCAGAGCACAAGCCGCCATGAGGTAGTTTACTGTTCAGGGACGTAGGTTCCCTGGCGCACATTCTTTCCTATGGACGAGAGCTCTAGTTAGATTCAGGGTCCATATTGCTTTAGTCTCACTGATGAAGAATGTTGATTATTACACTCTGAACTAACCTCGAGCTACAGAAAGAGTTCTTCAGAATTGGTTTGGCAACCGCTGTGTCAACTCGTGACACACCACATCTCTTGTCAACTCTCCGGCCGTAACTCCAAATAAACCTTCAGTGTTTGCCCTCAAAGCTCCAGCTCTCCTCGTGTCTCTCTGAGTCCTGACTCTCCATTGCTTCAGAAGTTTCCCCCACAGATTCATGTTTTTTGAGGTTATAAATAATACGATGACAACAGGATTGTTCGGTTGTGAATGCATAACAAGGTCGTTATGATGTAGTCAAAACAATATTGGATGATAGTAATTATTTTGGAGTGTTTTTGAGTGAGTTCAATCATGAGAACAGCATGAAGGGAAACGGCTTTCGAACACAACGAAGAAGGGTTCAGCTGGAAAGGTCTCATCATCTCCTTTGACTCTCTAGGGTTTTACTATTGTTTTCAATCATGTTTTTAATCATTACACAAAATGCAATCACAGGAAGAGTTGTCTCAGTGCAAGCCAAGTTTAATCAGGAAGGGTCATAATACCACCTCAACATCTGGGTAGTGTTCCTCCTCTGGTCGCAGTGATAGCGTTTCAGTTTGTCGCTCTCTAGAGTCTAAGTGATCGTTAAACGTGCGAACAGAAACCCTTTTGGCCCTGAAGGCGTCCCGAGGAAGATCTCCGTTTCGTTCCAAACACGTTTCAGTTATCGTCCGACGGGACACGTCTTCTCATGGCAGCAGATGCTCCTGTTAGCAAACTGATTTATATATTCTGTAGAGAAGGAGAAAGACTTTAGACCCTCACAGCTGTTCTGATGGGGGGGGGGGGGGGGGGAGCACTCAGAAAACTAACATGCCATGAACACGTCACTTACAGATCCTCAGAAACAGGAAGTAGAAACATGGGAGTATCACACGTGTTTATAGGGTAGTTATAATGTTCTCCGTGTGAAACAGACTGACCTATATGTGAGACTTTAAGACGAGACGTTTGTATCCACGCTCACTTCAAACGGCCCGCTGTGTGTTCAGGAGGAATTATTCAGAGGAGCATCTGGAGGGGAAAGCATCATCAAGACTTCCTGTTTGATAATGATTGATATCAGTGGCGTCAGTTGGTGGGAACTGGGAGACTTCTGTATTTTTGGGAGAACGTTGCCGTATTTAGATTTAAAATGTAGTTGTAGATGATTAAGAAGCATTTTAAAGTGCATAAAATGAAAAAGTCACAACTCTGAGAAATTCTGAGTAAAGACAAAATTCTAGACAGTCAGGAACAAAAGTAAAAATTCTGAGAAAAAAGTAAAAATTCTGAGAAAAACGCAAAAAGTCAGAAAATTCAAACATTTTAGAAAAAAATCTGAAATTCAGAAAAAAGTCAAAATTATAAGAAAAAACAAAGAATTCTGAGAAAAATTCTGAAAAATTCTTAAAGTTTTTCTCAGAACTTAAGCTCACTTGTTGCGGCCCTCTTCCCATTTCCATACCAGCAGTTTTATGAGATGAAACACATTATTATTATGAAGCCTTTGCTTTTCCGTTATGTTTTGGATGTTTGCGACACGATATTTCTCACCCTCTTTACACCAGAGCGGTCCCAGGGCTGTAAGAAAACATCGGCTGCTTGTCTTTGTCAGGGAGTTCTTTCTTATTTCTCTTATAAATGCCCCCCCCCCCCCCCCCCCCCCCCCCCCAGAAGGCCTCATCCTGAACCCCCCCTCCTCAGAATGGGAAACACATCGTGGTTCTTCAGAAGTCTTTTCTCTGTAAACAGAAAACAGAAAACAGCGGGCGCCTCGAACAGAAGCGTCTGAAAAGAGCCGAGTGAAAAACAGCAGCTGTGTCTTTGTGAAACACTGAGAGGGGGACGGCTTTCAACGTAACACCAGCACACAGTTTTATAATGGGGACTGGTGGGGAGGAGGATTTCCCAGTGGATCAGAAGAGGGTTTAACGGTTTAAAACATCAGATTCCTCAAAGTGTGTGTATAAAACCGATCCACAAACACCTGATTAAACGTAAATGTAAGATATTTAACACTTTTCTTTGTTTATTTGTAAGTTAATTAATGTTTTCACAGATCTTCTTTTTATTTACGGATTTGCAGATCTTTTTTATATTTGTAAAGCATTTTTGTGACTTTACAAATCTTGTTTTACATTTACAGCTTACACATTTCCACACAGAT